GTAGTCATGGGCACAGGAACAGGGGACCCAATACATCCTTCTGGTATAAACGCTATACGGTATATATAGATAACCAAGATTTAGGGTCATTTTAGTCAAAAGCCAAACATCTGCTCAGTATTCATTCTGACTCTAAGGATACAAGGATGTATTCAGAGGAAAGTGTCACGGGGATAAACAAAACTATAGTGATATTGCAATGACCAGAAGCAGACACACAGAAATGCATTGTAATAAACCAGAATAAATCACTTCCAGCTAAAGTCAGGAGCAGGGCAGTTAGAAGCAGTCCGTGGCTTTCACTCTTCTTAGTTTCTTGTTATGTTACTTTTTTTGTTCACTTTCTCTATATTGGAATTTATTTGGTTACACAATTCCCTGGTGTTTTAACAAATTTATCTTCTTTTCCTCAAGTGCTCTCTCACATGGGCAGCCGGGGGGATGGTGAGGATAGGCAGCTAAACTCCCTTCCCTGCCCCCTTCCCCAGCCACCTACCTAAATTCACTACAGCTGGATAGGACTGTACACATGCGTGGCTGCAGCACTGCCTGCCAAACTCACCCATTGAGGGGAGTGCAGCGTAATCATGAGCCAAACATGCTAATTTTGGGGATTTAAAAAACAGATCATCTCCTGAATGCCTTCCAGCTGCTGCATCATTTTTCAGAGGTTGGTAATCACTGCTGCCTGCATGAATTGCATGTAGAGATGTGCAATTCAATTCGTTCAGATAAGTTTTTCACATGGAAATTTCATTTTTGCAGATTCAAATGTATCCAAATTTCTGACTTGACATAGTAGTGAATCTGGACGAATTTGAAAAAAGTTATAACTAACTTTTCAGATTTATTTAGATAATGTGGATTAATTGAGAAGAACCTCCTTAACCGCTTTAGCTCTGCCCCATAGCAGAAATACATATATATACGTGATTTTGCATTACCACGTAGTGGGCGGGCGTGCCCTACCCGCTCCTCTTGCCGCAGCTGTCAATCACTGGATTCTGGCCGGTGATTACTCACTGGCACCCAGTGATTGCCGAGCAGGGGCGGACTGACAACTCATGGGGCGCCTGGGCAATAGGGCATCATGGGGCCCCTGTGTCCTTGCCCAAACTCAAAAAAGCTTATGAAAAAGGTACCAGGGGCATCTCATGGGGCCCCCTACTGACCTTGGGCCCTCGGGAAGTGTCCGAGTTTTCAAATGGTCAGTCCGCCCCTGTTGCTGAGGATCTCTGACGGGGGGGAGAACTGTTAATAAACAAAACAGTTCTCCTCCCTGTCAGCTCATGCACACTGCTTTGCAGTGTGCTTACAGTGAAGCACACACACACACAGCCCCTAGTAAAATACACACAGCACACAGTTAACCCTTTGATCGACCCACATGTGAACCCCTTCATGCCCAGTGCCATTAGCACAGTGTCAGTGCTTTTTATTAGCACTGATCACTGTATTGGTGTCACTGGGGATGTCAGTGACACCAAGTCAGTTACCCGCAGTGTCAGAATGCCCGCCGCAGTCCTGCAGTCCCTCTGTAAGTTGCTGATCGCCGCCATTACTATTAAAAAAAAAAGTCATGGCCGAAATTGTTGGCAAAAAAAATGTAAAAGCCCTATACATTAACACCGCCATTTGTAAATGTTATAACTTTCACGTAAACCAATCAATTTACACGTACTGGGGACCTTTTTTTTTTAGCAAAGACATGTAACAGAGTACATTTTGTCCTAAAAATTAGATTTTTAAAATTGTGTTTTTCCTGAACATGTTTAATAGCGAAAAGTCAAAAAAACATGGTCGGTCTTTGTTTTTTTTTATAGCGCGGATGAAAAAAAATAAAAAATACACAGGCAATCAAATACCACTGAAAGAAAGCTCTATTCGTGGGGAAAAAAAAAGGATGTAAATTTCATTTGGGTGCAGCATTGCATGACCATGCAATTGTCAGTTAAAGTAACGCAGCGCTGTAACTCAAAAAGTGGCCTGGCCAGGAAGGGGGGTAAATCCTTTGGAGAGCAACAAGCATGTCTCATCTGCTGTCGGTGGGATTCCCTGCTGTCCACAGAATGTAAACAAAAGAAGTGCCAGTTAAAAAAAAAATAGCATGGGTGTCCCCCAAGCCTTATAAATTTTTATGGGGAACCCCACACCAAAATGAAAAAAAAAATGGCATGGGGTACCAAACCCATATCATATCCCAGCATGCAGCCTAGCAGGCCAGGAAAGAAGCGGGATGAATGAGAAAACCCCCTACCGCCCCCGAACCATACCAAGCTATATGCCCTCACCATGAAGGGGTGCTTTGAGGTCTAAAGGTCTGGTGTAGATTTTTTTTTTTTTGGGGGGGGGGATTCTACGCAATTTTTTTTATTTTTTTTTTTTTTATTTTGGCACCGGGTTCCCCTCAAAATCCATACCAAACCCAAAGAGCTGTGTTACCGGGTTCCCCTCAAAATCCATACCAAACCCAAAGAGCTGTGTAGATTGGGTGGGAACCCCACACGTTTTTTTTATTATTTTTTAACTTCTTCTGCACCACCCTATGGCAGAAATACTGCTACATGGGGGTGGCACGGGTGCTCAAAATCACATACTGTACATATACGTGATTTTGCAGTTCTAGGTAGGGGCGCACAGGTTGTGATTCACCTGGTCCCGGCTGTTGATTCCCCGCCAGCACCCGGTGATCTCCAAGGATTTCCGACGGGGGAGAGACCTGTATGTAAACAACACAGATCACTCCCCTGTCAGTTCCTGCACATAGCAGTAGCATAGCAGAGCCATAAAAAGCAGTGTGCTTACAATGAAACACAGCACACAGCTAACCCTTTGATTACCCCAGATGTTAAACCCTTCCTGCCCAGTGCCATTAGTACAGTGTGAGTGCTTTGTATTGGTGTCACTGGGGACATCAGTGATACCCAGTTAGTTCCCCCCAGTGTGTCAGAATGCCCGCCCAAGTCCCACTATAAGTCGCTGATCACCGCCTTTACTAGTAAAGAAAAAAAAAATTCCAGTATATATACCGCCATTTGTAAACGCTATAACTTTCACGTAAACCAATTACTTTACACCTTTTGGGATTTTTTTTATCAAAGACATGCAGCAGAATACATTTTCGCCTAAATTTATGACTACATTTGATTTTTTACATTTTTTTACTGGATATGTTTTATAGCAAAAAGTAAAAAATAGGTTTTATTTTTTCAAAATTGTCGGTCTTTTTTTGTTTATAGTGCAAAAAATAAAAACCGCACAGGTGATCAAATACCACCAAAAGAACGCTATATTTTTTGGAAAAACAGAACATAAATTTAATTTGGGTGCAGCGTTGCATGACCGCGCAATTGTCAGTTAAAGTAATGCAGCGCCGTATTGCAAAAAATGGCCTGGTCAGGAAGGGGGGGTGGTAAAATCCTCTGGAGGGCAAGTGGTTAACCTGCACTTCTTTTGTTTACATTCTGCTGGCAACAGGGAATCCCACTGACAGCAGATGAGTCATGATTGTTAAGGACCCGGCAGCCGCAGCATGCATCAGTTTGGCTGCTCAGCGCGGGACCTGGAACCAAGTGGAGATCACTAGAGTAGTGGTATCTGTCTGTTTCCTATGTATAACATGCCAATGCCTGGAATTATTCTTTAATACAGATCAGTTAAAGGACAAGTTTAAAATAACCATTTGATTTTCATGCTGATGAATTGTATTTTAGATTTTTGTAGTTAAATGTATTGTTTGACAATGTAATCAATGATAAACCACTTGTTTATAATTGTTCATACCTAGATTACAATTCACTATATTTATTCCCAGATAAAATAAAAAAATAAAGATATATAAAAAAAATAAATAAATAAGATTAAGTGGAAAACACAGGTTTTGCTGCATTATTCAGCTTCAGTCCAGAGATTTTTCCCTGTGGAATTTTTTTCTGCTGCTAAATGTCCTCAGTCTATTGGCCATCATCATTTAATCCACTTTCACTGACTCCAGGTGGAACATCACCCTAATGACAAATAAAAAAAGTAATACCTGGTGCTGGACTTAATAAATTGGGTTGTAATAATCAGGGGACTGAGCCCCCCCCAGTTCTACTACTTCTACCTGGCCTTCCACATCACTTTAGCAAACATCCGTGGCACAAGAACCATTGTTATGTAAGGCTTGGTTCCCACTGCTGTAATCCTAGTCTTGCAACTTCCAGTACGACTTTGCATTGCGACTTCAATGCAGCTTTCGTGAGACTTTGATGTTTTGCAACTTTGCCTTTGACCAATCATACCAATACAAAGTGTAATACATATTATTGAACTTACAAAAACCTGTGAGGTTGCAGCCAAAGTCACAAAAATAAGAGAAATAAAAAAAACGATTTCCTTGCGACTTTTGTGATTTTACCATTGCAGTCTATGACACTCATGGCACAAGGAAGATGCAGAAAAGTGCAGGAACTATTTATTCGTTGCTGCAACTTGAGTTGCAGCAATTAAGACAGCACTCGTTGAAATGAATGTGTTTTGACTTGTCATGTGACTTTCTGTGTCGCATGAGAAATAGTAGCAGCAAGTCGCATGAGAAGTAGTAGCAGCAAGTCGCATGAGAAGTAGTAGCAGCAGTGTGAAACAGGGCTTACTTGGCAGACCAAGAAACGTCCCAATGGCAACAACAGGCTGCTATTACAACTTTATGGACTATCCTGAGATAATAGCTTTCAGATTCCTCAGATCTTTCATGAAGGTGGCAAAAAGTAAAAATCATTGTCAGCTGATGGCATATAACCAGGGGCGGACTGACAACTCATGGGGCCTCCGGGCAATAGGGGATCATGGGGCCCCTGTGTCCTTGCCCAAACTCAAAAAAGCCTATGAAAAAGGTACCAGGGGCATCTCATGGGGCCCCCTACTGACCCCGGGCCCTCAGGCAGTGTCCCAGTTTCCAAATGGTCAGTCCGCCCCTGCATATAACCTACGTTTTCACAGCAAAGACACGCAGCAAACAGGAATGATAGCTACATGTCGCTATGCTCTGCCTAGAATAAAAGCATGACAAGGCTCTAACGCTCTATGATTTTCAGAAATACACATCTAATTATTTACCCTCAATAAGAAGAGAAAAGAAAGCTTAACACTCACATACACAGACATGCAGGGGATTAGCTGTACTCTAACTCAGAAAGCACGCGTCGCTATGGTGCCTTCAAATTTGCATTTTCCCTTTTGTGCACAATTGAGTATGGCAGATCCACTCAACCTAGTGGTGGTGCCAAGAAAGAGATGCTTGATTTGACATCGGTTCACTATATACAGTAGGGCAGCTCTACTCTAAAATGTATCTGATGTTTTCTAAGGATAATTCTTTTGGAATAAATAAATGAAGGCATAAACTTGAAATACAACAAAGCTTGAAGGAATCCTGAAATAGAGAGCACTGGGTTTAATTTGTATTTACAGGAGCAAACATTTCAATTCAACATCTCATTTGACAAGAGCAGCTGGAGTACTTGCATGTGGTCTGTTTAGTCAATTAAACTATCTGAGACTTTAGCAAGATATTGTGCAGTATATTCCATAATGGTACTTGTGGGCCAATTGAAAGGATAGCAGGGTTAGAGGGGGGCAGGGCCAATCCTCAAAATTCACACATTTTAAAGACTTATTTTATTAACCTCTTTTTGGATACTTTGTGGCTAATTTATCAAGAGAGCATTATGGGGTTTAATTACTAAAACTGGAAAGTGCAAAATCTGGTGCAACACTACATAGGAACCAATCCGCTTCCAGGATTTATTGCCAAAACTTAACCACTTGCCCTCCAGAGGATTTACCCCCCTTCCTGACCAGGCCATTTTTTGTGTTACGGGGCTGCATTACTTTAACTGACAATTTACGCGGTCATGCAACGTTGCACCCAAATCAAATTTACGCCATTTTTTCCTACAAATTGAGCTTCTGTGGTATTTGATCGCCAGTGCGTTTTTAATTTTTTTGTGCTATAAAAAAAAGACCGACAATTTTGAGGAAAAAAAACTATATTTTTGACTTTTTTGCTATTAACCATTACCCGCACGGCCAATGGCCGTTTGGCGGCTTCAAAAATGCTTCGGCATTCTGGGTGCACGCCATTTGGCGTGCTCCTGCACATGCACAGTTTGCGCTCCAGCAGAGCCACGCAGCGGTGCGATCTGTCACCGGCCGTTGCCCCCGTTGCTGGTACCATCTGACCTGCTTTGACCAATCTCAGCAGGTCACATGACAGTTGTATACAATGGATGGCTTCATTCATGCCTCTATTGTATAATAGTGTCTAGCTGTGAATGGTCACAGCTAATCACATGCACATGTCATGTGATTAGCTGTGACCAAATCACAGCTAAGCACAAAAAAAAAAAAAAAAAAAACCTGAATGAATCGATGTCATTCAGGTAAATGCTTGCTTATAGCAAAGTAATTCTTTGCTATAAGCAAATTGTGTAAAAAAAAAAAAAAAACTGATCACTTCCCCAAAGTAGTACAATGTTACTATGGTAACATTGTACTACTTTGGTCAGAGTAAAATATGAAAAAAAATCTTAAAAAAAAAAAAAAAAAGTAATAAAAAATTAAAAAATAATAAAAAAAAATATATATATATATATTTTTTTTTTGCATACTGTCACCAGTCAGTGTCCCTGTTCACCGCCATGCCAGTTATATGATGACGCTGTACTGCACTGGTGACAGTATGTAAAAAAAAAATAGTGAAAATAATTTTTTTTATTTTTTCATTTTCCGAAAAATTATGGCAAAAAAAATACAACTTCAAAAAACTGGCCATGCCTCTTATGAAGTACGTCGGACTGTCTACTCTGCAAAAAGGGGTCATTTGGGGGATATCTGTACTGTTCTGACATTCTTGGACCTCAAGAAATTAGATTGGCTGTCAGTACTTCAGGATTGATCAATATTCAGATCTATCCCATAGTTTGTGAACTCTATAACTTTCCTACAAACTAAATAATACATCCTAATTTGGGTTATTTTCACCAAAGACATGTAGCAGAATACATCTCGGCCTAAATTTATGAAGAACAATTATTTATTTGTAAACCTTTATAACAGAAACAAAGAAAAACGTATTTTGTTTTCAAAATTTTTGGTCTTTTTTTGTTAATTTAGCAAAAAATAAAAACCCCAGCGGTGATTAAATACCACCCAAAAAAGAAAGCTCTAGTTGTGTGAAGAAAATGATAAAAATTTTAGTTTGGGTACAATGTTGTATGACCGCGCAATTGTCATTCAAAGTGTGAGAGCGCTGAAACGTGAAAACTGGCCTGGGCAGGAAGGTGGAAAATTGCACGGTATTGAAATGGTTAATCATGTCCAGTAAAAAAATTTAAAAAATCAAATGTCATCATACATTTAGGCCAAAATGCATTCTGCTACATGTCTTTGCTTAAAAGAAATCCCAATACATGTAAATGAATTGGTTTACATGAAAGTTATAGCGTTTACAAATGGCGGTATATATACTGGGATTTTTTTTTTTTTTTACTAGTAATGGCAGTGATCAGCAACTCATCAGTAGGCATTCTGACACTGTGGGGAACTGAATTAGTGTCACTGACATCCCCAGTGACGCCAATACAGTGATCAGTGCTAATAAAAAGCACTGACACTGTACTAATGACACTGGGCAGGAAGGGATTAACATGTGGGGCGATCAAAGGGTTAACTGTGCGATGTGTACTGTTTTACATTGTGTCCTGTGTTTGTGCTTCACTGTAAGCACCCTGCTTTGCTTGGGTGTGCTATGCACAGCCATGTAAAGCAGTGTGCATGAGCTGACAGGGGGAACTGTTTTGTTTACAAACAGTCCCCCCCCCCAATCAGATATGCTCCGCAATCACCAGGTGCCGGCGAATAATCACCAGGCAGGACCCGGTGATTGACAGCTGCGTCCACGTATCGTGACATGGGTAGGGCATGCGTGCACTCTGCGTGCGTCCCCTACTTGGAAATGCAAAATCATGTATATATACATGATTTTGCGCACCCATGCCACCCTGTAGCAGTATATCTGCTATAGGGCGGACAGGAAGTGGTTAATTGAACAAGCTAAAGTTAGAAGCTGATTGGCTACCATGACAGCTGCACCAGATTCTAAATGCACCAGTTTTACTAAATCTCCCACTATGGGTTCAAGGGATGTTAAGAGGAGTCAGTATATGCTAGATGTTCCTAGCAATATATTGATCAGATGTAACCCATGCTGATGTCTATGACCCTATCTTTCTCTATTCAATAAAGTTTTTGTGGAAAAAAAAAAAGGAGTCAGAACACTTTATATAGTTAGTGACACCACTCTTGTTTGATGGTCTGCACCGTAGAAAAGTAGCTCCGCATATGAAGCAGACAGCATGCTCCATCCAATAGCACATTCTAGCAATTTTACCTAATCATATTTACAAACAGGTGCCTTCATTCAGGCATATCTAGGACACCATAATATCTAAATGACTAGATGATGAAAACACCATTCATTTATTTATGCCACCATCCTGTTTCCAGCCTATTCTTTGGATTATGAGTGATCTTCACACCTCTTAGGAAGTCCTGCATTCTGCCCTTTCTGGAATTTGACCTTAACCAATTCAATATCGAGCAATTTTACACCTTCCTGCCCAGGCCAGTTTTCAGGTTTCAGCGCTCTCACACTTTGAATGACAATTGCGCGGTCATACAACATTGTACCCAAACTAAAATTTTATCATTTTCTTCACACAACTAGAGCTTTCTTTTGGTGGTATTTAATCACCGCTGGGGTTTTTATTTTTTGCTAAATTAACAAAAAAAGACCCACAATTTTGAAAAAAACACGTTTCTCTTTGTTTCTGTTAAAAAAGTTTGCAAAAAAATAATTGTTCTTCATAAATTTAGGCCGAGATGTATTCTGCTACATGTCTTTGGTGAAAATAACCCAAATTAGGATGTATTTTTTAGTTGGTAGGAAAGTTATAGAGTTCACAAACTATGGGATAGATCTGAATATTGATCAATCCTGAAGTACTGACAGCCAATCTAATTTCTTGAGGTCCAAGAATGTCAGAACAGTACAGGTATCCCCCAAATTACCCCTTTTTGCAAAGTAGACAGTCCGATGTACTTCATAAGAGGCATGGCGAGTTTTTTGAAGTTGTATTTTTTTTGTCATAATTTTTCGGAAAATGAAAAAATTAAAAAAATTAGTTTTACTATTTTTTTTTTTACATACTGTCACCAGTGCAGTACAGCATCATCATATAACTGGCATGGCGGTGATCAGGGACACTGACTGGTGACAGTATGAAAAAAAAAATATATATATATTGTTTTTTATTATTATTTTTTTTTTATTAATTTTATTTTCTTTTTTTTAAGATTTTTTTTTTTTCATATTTCACAATGAACAAAGTAGTACAATGTTACCATAGTAACATTGTACTACTTTGGGGAAGTGATCAGTATTTTTTTTTTTTACACAATTTGGTTATAGCAAAGAATTACTTTGCTATAAGAAAGCATTTACCTGAATGACATCGATTCATTCAGGGTTTTTGTTTTTTTTTTGTGCTTAGCTGTGATTTGGCCACAGCTAATCACATGACATGTGCATGTGATTAGCTGTGACCATTCACAGCTAGACACTAGTATACAATGGATGGCATGAATGAAGCCATCCATTGTATACAACTGCCATGTGACCTGCTGTGATTGGTCAAAGCAGATCACATGGTACTGGCAACAGGGGCCGATACTCGGATCTGTCATCGGCCGTGTCCGAGGTACATGGTCGGTGACAGATCGCGCCGCTGCGCGGCTCTGCAGGAGCACAATCTGCGCATGTGTGGGAGGACGCCATATGGTGTCCACCCGGAACGCTGATGACATTTGCCGGCCACCATTCGGCCATAGGGCGGGCGGCAAATGGTTAATACACTTTCCTGCTCCAAAGTCTAAAACTATACAGTCTGTAACAGCTAAGAGGAATTAATCAAATGATCAGACAGACGTTTGATTTAACATAAACTTGACTAAATCGGTTCAAAATAGGATTAACAATGCAAGAAGAGTCAACATGGCAAAAAGGGTATACTATACATA